AAAACCCGAATAACGAAAGGAACAAAACTATTCCCATCGTCAGCGCTATCGACACCACAGAAAGGCATAAAAAAATGAGCCAACACTTCAGATGTATGCTGCAGTTAGTCAGCTAAACAAAAACTTTGTTTTTCTAAATTTTTTTGATTTTTTTATTTTTTATCTCTTCTGGTCGATTAGGCCAACTCTATGCACTTCAACTGAACCTTTGTGCATTGTTTATTTGCTGTTTTAAAACAGCCTTCAATCAGTCTGCTCAATTTTTTTCGTTTGAACCTTAAAAGAAAAAGGAAGACAAAGAAGAAAATCTTGACTTTATTGATCTGCAATTACTGTACTGTACCTGTCATCTAATCAGTAATCTATTATTAGAAATCTTCTAATTATTTCAACGTGTTATGAACAATATTTATCTGTTATTGATATTATCATCAATGAAGTTTCTTTGTACAGTTGTAGCAGAAATTGCAGTTGAACAACATCTGAGAACAGTAAGTTATTGCTTCGGTTTCTTCAATTAGGCAGTTCATTATTTTGGTTGATATATTCTACTAAATTTTATTGTTTCAAAGCCAAAAATAAATCAATTCTTAAAGAATAGATTTTCTGCATAGTTGTAAAATGAAGTGTTGAAATTTTGGCTTAGAAAAACTTGAATGTTGGTTGTATAACTTCTACTGAACACTTTTTTTGTTGTTCTTTTGTAGTTCTGAAGTGCAAATTGAATTTTTTTTTTTTGAATCTTATTCATTATCGATATTTAAGAGTTTACAAAAATTTGATATTTTTTTCTCTCTGTTGTTTTCTTTGAGTATTAGGTTTATCGTCATCGGAGAACTCTATGACTGTTGAGCAAATAATATTATTCAAACGAGTTTTTCAAACACATAAACATTGATAAACTTTAATTCTGTAAAGGATTAAGCAAATTTTAGTTGTCAACACTGTACAAGGATAACGGTTTATTGAAAATCATTATTAGATGTTGTTTTCTTGGTTATTTTGTTAACTTTTCGTTTTTTATTTTTCAGAGTTTTCAAAACCATTGTTGTCGGCTTCAGATCTGATGCATAAAACAATTGCAAGCTTAACTTTTGAAAGTGCAATAGTTGTCTGCAACATTATTCTATTCTTTTCAACTATGTTGCTTAAAATTTGTTCACATTTCTGAAATTTGTGGGTGTCGTGGATGGTCAGGATAAGCGGATTTTTTTGGGACAATGTTTAGTCTGAACAAAGGCGTAAATAACATGTGGTAAAAAAAGCCTAAGAAACAGCATTATTTGTTTCAAGAAAATATCTTGAAATGAAACAATCACCGATCAACTTAAGTCAGCAGTTTGTTTTCTTTTATATATCTTAATAAACAGTAATTACAGCCTGCGATTATTGAACACTACAGATATCCCTCAGAGGTGCATGAAGCCACAACTGCTGATGGATATATCTTAGAATTACACCGTATTCCTCATGGCGTTAATGGTATACTGTAATAAAAATTTGGAAATGAAATTTTCGACGTCAGCATGAAAGAGCTGATTAAAAAAACCTTAATATTTTAATATCTAATCACAAGCAATAATGAATTTTCAGAAACTTCGGGATCTGGCTCGCGACCTGTTGTATTTCTTCAACATGGTTTTGTTGGCTCAAGTGCTGTTTGGGTGACCAATACACCGCCAGCCTCAGCCGGTAAATTAAATGCAGCCCTTCATTTGACTCTAATTTAGACACTTGTAGAGAATGTGAGTGAAAAGAAGTCACTCTGCAATAATTAATATAGAAAATGAATCTTGTTTTATTACTTGACATATCGGTGAAATCCAGAAAAATACTTCAAATAGATACTTGAACGGTTTGTTAACGTTTTTGTGATTAAAATATGAAAAAAGTGCTTAACCGTTGTCGACGTTTGATATTATTTTTTGATTTCACTGTAGCCAATTCACTGAGATTATTTAGGCTTTATGCTTGCCGATGCGGGTTTTGATGTTTGGATGGGTAACGTTCGCGGAAACAAATATTCAAGGAAACATAAAACATTGTCGACCGACCAAGCACCGTATTGGAGATTTACGTAAGTAGCTTTTTTTTTTGTTGCTGTTAGTTTTTTGTTTTCGAGAAGCGTTAAACGACAAAACCTTTGTTGGTGGACCAATTTTTTGTCTGTTGCTGTGTTTCTCAAATGCGGTCTGCAGGATTTTAGATGTATGGGAAGAGAGGAAAATGAAGCCTGTTTTTTTTAGTTGGGATGAATTTGTCAAATATGACTTGCCGGCGATGATCGACTATGCGCTGAATGTTACAGGTCAGCGATATCTGTATTATGTTGGCTATTCAGAAGGTACGCTAACAATGTTTGCTAAGCTTGCTTCTGACCAAAAATTTCACAACAAGGTACTAGTACATTTACTTTCTTCAACTAAGCGCTTTAACTGTTGGTACTGTCTGTCCTGAAAAAGAAAACAGCTTTTGAAAAAAAAAAGTAAGGAAATATTTCTGTTTTAGATTCGATTATTTTTTGCTCTTGGACCTATTGGAACGTTAACACATATCAAAGGACTGATTGAAGTTGCAGCAAAAAATTTTTTTGTTCCGTTGAAGGTTCAAAAATTATCATTTATAGTTAAAAAGTAGTTCAAAATAACAATGACAAAGAACATTTGTTGCTGCCAACACCATTTTTGATGTCAGTAGGACGAAATTTTGACTGTTTCGGTCAAAGGAGTCAAAGTTTCTTGGTTATTCCCTTTGAAAAATAAAAAAATTAAACTTTTTTTTTAATATTTATGATAAAAAAACAGTGATAGCTAAAATTAACTGAAGACGTCAGACTTCTTATAGTTTTTGGCAAAAGTAGGTACAGAGTTTGCTCCTAACAACTCATTTTTACGACGGGCAAGTAAAGCTGTTTGTAAGCTTAATATTCTTCTACCACACTGTGAGAGCTTTATCTATGCGATGACCGGACCACAAACGCAACAGTTTAACCAGGTTTTTCTTTAGTTTGTCTCTTTTCACTTCAGTTTGCAATCTCTGGGTTGAAATATAAAAAACCATTGGTATGATGACTTCTGATTTTGGTCGCATATAAATATGTAAAATATAAAATATACCGCATATAAAAAATGTAGGAAATGATAAATTAAGACAAGAATGCCGGTCTACATGACTCATTTACCGTCTGGAACTTCTACAGCAAATCTGCTTCACTGGGCGCAGATGGTGAACAGCGGAAAGATACAAATGTACGACTATGGATCGGATGAAGCTAATCGACGGCACTATGGAACGGTTAATGATCATACATATTGATATGCTTTGAAATTTGATTCTGCAGCAGTGTTCTTGTCGAATTGATGGTTCTTATCACTGATACTTGTTTTACAGACTGAGGTTCCACTTTACAATCTTACTTTGGTTAATTCACCGGTAATACTGTATTGGAGTGCAGGTGACTGGTTGGCTGATAAAACGGATATTCAAGTATGTTCTTTATGGTAGTGATTTAGATTTCTTTAATTACTAATTCAAATTAAGTTTATAGCAAAGTGCAGCATTTGTTACTGATAAAAGCGTATGTGATTTGGCTGATTATTCGTAATTTTAGAACGGCCTTCTGGCAAAACTGCAGCAGCGATACTTACGGGAGAGCAATGAGCTGACCAATTTCAATCACTTCGACTTTATCTGGGGCAGTAATGCTCCAAAGCAAATATATCAGCCTATAATTGAGCATATAAGAAATGAAGAAAACAGACTTAAACTTCTTTCCTCTGATGATTAATAAAGAGTAGTTCCTGGAAAAAATCATACTTGTATCCATAATTGGTAGCAGAAAGTACAAGTTTTTTCAATACGATTTGTGTTGTAAAAGCTTCTCTAGTCTGTGTAAAATTTTTCAAAAATCCCATGAATTTAAATAGGCAACAATAAGGAAGGATATCGACAAAATATTGTCAAGAAAACACTTAGGAACGAAAATAAAATGATAAATTAGTTATAACTG